GGCCATGGGACTGCGCCATAGATCTCATTCCGGGTGAGCCAGTGCCTCGGGGAAAAATCTATTCACTGTCGCTTCCTGAACAGAAGGCCATGGAGGACTACGGCAAGGAGGCGCTGGGTCAAGGTTACATCCGTCCATCTAACTCCCCTGCTGCATCAAGTTTCTTCTTTGGCCAAGAAGGACGGAAGCTTGAGGCCCTGTATAGATTACCGAGCATTAAACAATATCGCCGTCAAATTCGATCATCCTCGTCCCTAATGCCCTGGAACATCTCTGAGGTGCGACCATCTTCATCAAGTTGGACCTCCGCAGTGCCTACAACCTCATCCGGATACGTGAGGGGGATGAATGGAAGACTGCCTTTGTGACCCCTACTGGCCACTATGAGTATCTGGTCATGCCCTATGGACTTGCGTCCCTTCCGTATTCCAGGATTTTATGCATGAGGTGCTCCGGGAGTTTCTTCATCGATTCGTCATTGTCTACATAGATGACATCCTCATCTACTCCCGGAGCCAGGCCGAACATCGCCAGCACATTGCGGAGGTCTCTCCAACGCCTGAGAGAGCACCACCTATTCCTCAAGGCTGAAAAGTGCACCTTCCACCAAACCACGGTGCAGTTCCTGGGGTATAACATTGATCGTACCGGTATCCAGATGGACGAGGGGAAGGTGGAAGCTATAACCTCCTGGCCAGAAACCACTACTATTAAGGAGCTCTAACGATTCCTCGGATTTTCCAACTTTTACTGTCACTTTATCCTAAACTATAGCAAGATCACCAGCCCCCTCACCAACTTACTCCGAGGGAAACCCAAGTCTCTGTGTGTGTGTGTGTGTGTGTGTGTATTGTAATATTTGAGATAGATAGATATATACACACTAAGTGATATGCATATTGCATTATGGGCTTTCATGGAGCTGCATGTTGTGCAACTTTATAATAAAACAGATTAGATATGACATTTTGCAAATTTTTTGCAGAATGGGTCATTATATTCTTCATAATTATGAATGAGGCTAGTTGTTCTGTTTATTGCTTCTTAAATGTCATAAACATCCACGGTGTATACAGTGCTGATTCACTTTATTACTGGAAGGCTAGTGTGTATGTCTGTGACTTTGTGTCCGTGTACTGGCTCCAGACAGCTCTAATCTTGGTGGCTGCTCTGAGGATTTGAGGCATGACCGAACAAGTTTTGGTTCTGTGGATTGTAACACAGCACAAAACTGTCATTTTCTGTTATTATAAGACTCTAGCTGTAGAAACAAATATTGTTTGGATGCACTCTTTCTGACTGTTTTAGGGTGAGTGGAATTTCTCAGGACAGGATTTCACTTTCTAGTCTTAAGTTTGTGTTGCATATTCAAACAGGCCAGTCAAGGAACTGTGATATATCCATGAAATGCAAACATATTAGAAAGACATTTAAAAAATATTTTTTTTTGTCTTAAATAGGCCAAATAGATCCACAATGATAAATAACACTGTTCCAGTTAGGCCAGGCATTTCACAAAGGTCGGTTGATCTGTAAATAGCTGCTAATGGGATTTTCTGCTGAAGTTTAGATGTGTGCAAGAGATACAGTTACGCCTCTCACCTTAGTGGACGGCTCCAGTTTCAAAGCCTTTTTCAGGGTCTCCATGGCCTCCTCATACTCACCCCTGTCCGATAAAAGCTGCAGACACATTTTACATTACCAGATTACAATAAATATGACTCTTTGTTTTTGGAAAAAGTACAATCCAGATGGAAATATAAACCCATCATGTATGAACTGTAAATAATCTCAGTGCCTAGTTTGTTGAATAATATTCATCCATACCTTCCCTTTCCTGAATAATGCTTTGACATTCTGGGGATCCAGGAACAGCACATCTTGACTGGTGTGCAGCGCCTCGTCAAACTGTCCAAGCTTCAGCTGTGCTGCTGCCAGGTTATTCAGACATTTTACCCGGTAGTCGTTCACCTCCTCATCTTCCTCATCTGATGCACACCTTTGACTGTCTATAGGAGGACACAGTTGTACAGCCACTTATAACCACACTGTGGTAATGTAACACCAAAGAAAATGATAAACACAATTAAAAATGTGTTTGCTTATGGATCAATCCAGTGTAAACAGCATTATGCATTAGTTCTGGCCCTCAGATCTGATTGGTCAAGCAATGTTCCAACAGTGCTGAAATAACAGTTCAACAGCACTGACTTTTCAATGTTTGTTCCAGAGAGACTGTCAGTCTGT